TTGACGTGAGATCTTTCCAAGGGCAGGCACAAGATGCCTCATGGGAGGCCCCGCCCTCTGAGACCCAGTGTGGATGCCACCCCTGAATGGGAGCAATGCCTCCCTGGAGGGCCACCTTTTTTTTTTGGTTACAGTGTGTGAAATTCTGGGCTGAGGGTACAGCCTGACTTCGCCTAGGGAAGACAGGGTAAAAGAACCCACGGGCAAGCTGTGGTTTTGTCTGAGGTTGGAATACCGGCAGTGGCATTTGGGGTAGATGTGGCAGCAACCTGGCCCCAGGCAGGGAGCACTGACAGCCAGCCTGGAAGAAACCCAGTTGCCTCCCACCTTCATTTTACAGGAAATGTTTTGCACATGTCTTTTAATACGTAGAGTTGATGAAAGAGAACAACACGTTCACAAGCAGATTTTTAAGCTAAGGCATGCCCACATGAAATCATAATATGTAGTAACAATACCTCCGGGTAGTGTAATGTTACTGAAAAGCCTCCTGTTCATTTTGAAGTGTCACAACAAGAGAAGGGATGGAGAGTGTTGCTGGGGGTGGCGTGTCGGACTCCGTGCAGTCCAAGGCACACCCCTCGAGTACAACAGAATAGACCATCTACCCAGCATTCCTTGAGTTTGGCTGCCGTCTTGTTTCCAGCATTTTTCATCTCAGTCCACTGGGAGAGTCCCGTATAAAAATACATCTTCAGGGGCCGGCCCCATGGCGTAGCAGTTAAGTTCAGTGTGCTCCACTTCAGCAGTCCAGGTTTGCGGGTTTGGATCCCAGGCGCAGACCTACTCCACTCGTCAGCCATGCTGTGGCGGTGAGCCGCATACAAGGTAGAGGAAGACTGACAAGGATGTTAGCTCAGGGCAAATCTTCCTCAGCACACACACAAAAAATACATCTTCAGCCATAGATTGTGAACATGTGGGCAAATAGGATTGACTATGTTCTGATAATATTTAGCCCTAATGGATTTTACTTTTTAAACTGAGTCTCTGCTCCAGAGTAGAAATAATATTTTATATCAGATTTGCGCTGTCTTGAATATTTACAGAGGCAAGCCTAGATTGAAGAGGTGGGAGGGCAGTCTGATTGGGAACTCTGAATGATTAGTGAAGGGTCTTTGCTTCCATTTTGTTTTGGAGTTCTTTCCTCAGGATGTTAAGTAGTGATTAAAGTGAAAAATATTCAATGACATAAACCTTTCAGATGCGTGTTCTCGGCTGTGTTCCTAGTTCTTTTGGAGACAAAAGTAATTAAATTATTTCTGGTTCTCTAGAGTGTTCTAAGAGAAGAAGGAGCTGAGACAGCTGTACAAGAAGCTTAATTGCAAAGGAAAGTGGAAAGAGTGTGGTGAGATTGGAAGATATTAGAGGACTTGCTCATTGGCAAGAGCAAACTTGGGAGGACCTAAGCTGGGAATTCTGTGGCCCGGCTTCTGAGTCTTAACAAAAGCATGTAGTTTCAAGATAAGATCTGTTTGCATAGGTGTGTGACTATTCGAGGTTAAGGTCTTGAAGCTGGAGGGAGCACAAAACACCGTGAATGGGGGCCTCGCCCCTCTATTCCGACTGCGCAGGTTATAATGAAGCATGCTCTCTTTCACCCTGATGATGCTTCCTTCCCTCGGCCGCCTTCTCTCTGGATCCATGGGGGTGGGCCAGCGATGTCCTGACCCTTCACCTGTCAGCCCAGCTGCTCCTTGTGCTCAAGACTTCCACCTTTGGGACCCTCACCACGTATGGCCCACCCCCCATAATACGCCCTCCTTATGTAGAGAGGAGGGGGGTTTGTCTGAATACACAGTGCAGCCTCTGTTGGTGATTTTGAAACGGTTTATGTAATCAAGGAGTTCTGCGCTTGCTTTAGAAAAAAGAAAATCTCGAGGAAAGCAGGTGGGTTCCTGGCTGGTTGTTTTCAAGGGAGTTTCTTCCTGTGGTTGCAGATCTTGGCTTCGTGGAGTCCTGCTCTGGGGCCCGTGGCACTTCTGTCCTTGGTCCCAGCATGGATACTAGATATTGTTTCTATGTAACTTGAGAAATCCAGTATCGATATCAGACCGCTTCAGCGGGGAGCCCAAGCATTAAGGATTTAACAGCCGTATTTAAGCAGCTCCATATGATTGAGATGCTCTAAGATGGTAACTCGGAAACTTCAGAAGGGATCCTCCTAACATGGTTGTGTTTGGGGGAGGGAGACTCTAGGGTCAAAATCAGGGTCTCTACTTGTTCTTCCGTATTGAGGTAGATGTCAACCCGGATCTTCTGGCCGCTTGGGAAGGCTAACTAGCTGGAAGGGTCTGCTTAACCTCGCCTCAGGCGGTCCTGCCTTCTGCTCTTCCAAGAGGGGACCCCTCTGGGAGGGTGAAGGCCTTGCTACAATTTGCCTGCATTGAGAGAATTTAATCCCCATTGTGGATAACACCTCAATACACTGAAAGGAGATTACTTATTTTTAAAAGCTCCTTTCCATTTTGTTCTCGTCCATTTGACAAATGGAGCATTATTATTCTCAGGGGGCAGGGGCTGAGGCTGGCCCTGGAAAAGGACTTGGCCCTAATCGTTGTCCCTCCACCTGGGCTCCTGGGAACAGTAGTAGCATTTGTGTGGCTGTATGGAAATGTCGAGGCAGGTTCCAATTGTTGTTTTAATTAGCTTTTCCAGCTGACCACTGCAAGGAGGCCAAGAAATGGTTGGTCTGTGTGACTGTTTTATTTAGAGGGTCGGGAGCCTTAGGGCGGGGGAAGACCTTCCCAGGGGTCTCCATGAGAACCTAAAGAGGTCCCATTTTTAGTGTGGTGCTTACTCTCTTGATGTGACTTGAATGGTAATTGTGACCTTTGGAATCTTGCATTCTAGAAGTGTTATCGTCTTAACATCTTTGTTTGCTTGTTTAGTTATTTATTTGCTTTTAACCGAGCGCTTGGGCTCTGTATATATCAAGGAATGGAGGAGTGGGGAAGCTTTTTGTAGAATTGGATGCAAAGGGAAGCCAAACCATTTCTAGCTTGAGTCAAGGCATTAAAGCTGTCAATTTTCTTGGTAAAATTCTAATTAGCTTAGTAGAGAAGGTTCCAAAGAAGTAACAGAAGCAAACCAGTCATTGTCTGGTTTTTTACTTTAAGCAGTAAAAATCCCGGGCTGTTGAGACAAAGGATAGTGGATTTTCTCTCTGTCAAGTCATTTGTGTGTGTAACTCATCTGGCGACAAAATATCTTCCTCCAAAAAGGAAGAGCATTTATTTTTAAAATGAATAGATGACATTTCTTATACAAACATTTTTTTGTTCCAACTTTTTGTGAACTCTGGAGAGGCGATAACACGATAAAGACGTGTAACTAATCCCGTGTAGATCATTCTTCTGCGAGTGACCTTACACTGCTGTAAATAAGGGGTGTGCAGTTTTCTGCCAGGATTGAGAAAAGGCAAGATTTTCTTTAGATCTGTACCGTTGAGGTCTCTTAGGGTGGACGTTGGAAATAGACCCTTTGCCAGGGGACCTGGTGTACAGGTCCGGTTTTGGTGGAATGGGGCAGGTGGCCCAGAGTGGAGAGATGTTGGATGGAGGGCAGGTGGGTGTGGGGAGGAAGGGAGTCTGCTGGGGAGTGAGACGGGGGAGGGGGCGATGTCCTAGCCTGAACTTCGTGAAACAGCAGGCCCGACAAATAACTATTTTGATCATCTTTCCACTGGTATTTTAGATTCTGATAAATCCTCCAGAGAATTAAAGAATTTTCTCTTCCTTTCCAAGTGACATCCTCCAATGTGGGATCAGCAGCTCCCTTGAGAATGTGGGGGTCTGTCCTGCCTACTCTCTGCCTCCTGATGACTCGGCTTTAGCCAGACACACTGGCCACCTACTGGACTCCCTCTGTCCAGTGCCCAGCATGTCCCTGGGCTCCCTGACCGCCAATCCTCCCAGCCTGTGCACACCTGGCACCTGACCGCCAATCCTCCCAGCCTGTGCACACCTGGCGCCTGGCCTTGTAGTCACCCCACACTGGGCTTTCTTGACATTCTACCCAGGAGGGTGGCAACCCCTCATTCTAGAAGATTCCCTCCTATAGAGGGATTCTGTGGCAGCAACTCGATATTTCTCTGTGCTGTGTGGTAAGAGTCATCCCTTTAAATGCTTTGTGATTTATATCGGGAATGTGGTCTGGTTTATTCCTGATGTAATTACTTGTCTTTGTCTTATGGGGCCTTAAATGAGCTCCTCTGGTAATTCTATTTTTGTTAAGGCTGTATAATTTTGTAACTGTTTAATATTTCATATGTTCTTTGAATTATCCCCACATCTTTGAAAAGCATGAAAGGTTAGAAATTATTTAGATAAAAACATTTTTTTTTGTGTTCTGGGTATATTTTTTATTTTTTACTTGTAAAATCTATACGTATATATATTTTTTTGGTGAGGAAGATTCACCCTGAGCCAACATCTGTGCCAATCTTCCTTTATTTTGTATATGGGGTGCTGCCACAGCATGGCTGATGAGTGGAGTATGTCCGTGCCTGGGATTAGAACCCATGAACCTGGGCTGCTGAAGTGGAGTGTGCAGAACACTCAGCCATGGGGCCGGCCCCTAACTTATTTTTTTTTAGGGATCATTTTTAGTGAGAGAAGATGGCTAATGACTTTTACTCCGTATGAATGTGAACTGCCTGGGGAATTTAAAATCAGCCGATGTGGAGAAATAGAACAAAGCAATATTGAAAGATAAAGGTCATTATGTGTGGAAAGAGCAAAGCAATCTTCATGTGTGGAAAGGACAAAACAGAGTTTAGCTCCTGAGAAATCTGTCAGGAAGAAAAGAAAAGATTTGAAATACTATTTCCAGCTTTGAAACTACGACGTAATAGGAAAGATGCACATCTGGATATTTATCCAAATTTGAAACTCGCGATTCTTGTCCAGGTGATTTTCTTTGATAAGATAAAGATGTTTATGATACGAACTCTCCTTTCTCTCATATAAAGTTTCATCTGTCATCTCGTCCTCCTCCAGGTGGTGTCCTGTCACGTGGTGGGCGAGACCCTTCAGTTCCTGGTCAGCGCGGGGCCTGCCTCCCCCCAGGACGCAGGGCGCCAGCTGTATGGCGTGCGACTCTCCCCGTTTCGTTTACAGGTAAAGTCGGGTAGGCTGTGCGAGTCATGGGAAACGTTCTCTTAAACCTGTACGGTGAGCATGGTGTCGTCACAGGCCACGAATACCCACATTTTCATTAACTACTACTCACTTCATAATTTTCAAAGTGTAACCTTTTGTATTCTACTGTACCTGTAGGAAATGAAAAAGTGTGTGTGTTATGTATATGTATATATATACACACACACGTATATATACACACACATATGTATACACACACGTACACACATATGTACATATATAATGAATTCAAAGGTTGCCCATCTATCAAAAATGGGATATATGGTATTTTTCAAGGCATGTAAACAAATCAGGAGTGTGGCTGATTGATAGCATAAAGTGAGCGGCGGCTGACATGAGGAAAGTGGTTCTGTCTCGGAATCAGGCGCTGGGCTTCAGAAGTCCACTGCAGCTTGGAAAAACAGCTTAGGGGCCAGACTGGGCATTCCTCTTTTTAGTTTTTGGAAAAAGTCAGCTTTAAAAGACCGCTTATTATTTTTATAAGTTAAAAAATGAGTCTTACCATTATTTTTTGGATAATAGACTTATTATAATAAATTATAATAGACATATATGACATATAACTATATATTTTATAATTTGTATATAATATATAATTATATGTATAAAAATTATAGAGAGAGACATATGTAATAATGATGGTAGACTTATTAGTGAAACTTCTGGATGCCTGAACCGTCAGATAACGGTGCATCTCACATTAAGCAGAAGTTCACTGAAGCTCCCGTTTCGCCAGTGTGCAGAAATTGTGTGTGAGTTTCTGGGTCTGTTTTAGGGTCACTGCCATTTGTTTCCTTTCCTCTGTCCTTGTCCTGGGCTGCTAATTTTGGGGACAAGCCCAAGTCATACAGGATTCTCCACCACCAGAGAAGATGATATTCCATATGCTTTTCTTACAAAGACATGGTTTTAAATGACCAGGGCCAACAAGATTTTCCAGCTACCTAAATGGCTCTTTCCCTGAAATCCAGGGCCCCCACCCCCACCCCGATAACACTTCCTTTTTGAGAGCTGGAGAGGTGGCGTGTTGGCTTCGTGGACATGTCAGATGTAATGCCCTCCCACAAATATTTTGGGTGATGTGATTAGAAAATAAATTTGTAGTCTGGGACACACTTACCCAACATCTGAAACACGCTTCAGGGCTGAGTGAGTCCGGCAAGGACCACAGACGTTAGCCGAGGAAATGTTTCTGGGATGGTGTTTCTGTTTCACAGCTCAGACACGAGTAACACAATTGTATCTTTGATCTGGAGCACAGCTGGAGAGCAGTCTGTGGATTACCTCTCCAAGCAGAGGCGGCTGCTGGAGATTGGTCAATGGTTAACATCAGGACAGAAAGCATTCCTGCTTCTGTGTTGTTTGTCAGATAAAAGGTGCAGAGAGGGGCCAGCAGTCTGTCTCCGTGCCTTCCCAACCCTGCCTGGTTGGGGGGTGACTCCAGGACCTGTGGCAGTGAAATTAAAGTGCACTTTTTCTGGAATTACCCAAAATTATGGGGCAAGGGAAGGCATCATTTCTCTTACCCTGTTGCCATCATGAGGTGAGAATCCCAAGTATTCAGAAATACAGTCCAAAGCCAGTCTTTCCTGCCCTTTTATTGGAGCTGGTGGGGAGAAGGGATGGAGATGTGAAGAGCGAAGATTTTGCTTTAGAAAGAGTCTCTGGCTGAAAAATGAAGGACGGTGTATTAGTTTCCTAAGGCTGCTGAAACAAACTTAGCTTAAAACAGCACAAATGTATTACGTTACTATCCTGGAGGTCTGATATGCCACACAGGCTAAAATCAAGGTGTTGGTGGGCTGTCTTCCTTTCTGGAAGCTCTAGGGGGAATCTGTTTTCTTGCTCATTCTGGTTGTTGGCAGAATTCAGTTCCTTACGGTTGTAGGACTGAGGCCCCTTTCCTTGCTGGCTGTCAGCTGAGGGCTGCTCCCAGCTTCTAAAGGGAACCTCACTCCTGGGCTCTTGGCATCCTTCCTCCATCTTCAAGGATCATCTCTCTGGCCTGCTCTTCTGTCTTCCTCTCCTTTTTTTTTTTTTTTTTTTGGTGAGGAAGATTAGCCCTGAGCTAACATTTGTTACCTCTCCTCTTCTTTTTGCTGAGGAAGATTGGCCCTGGGCTAACATCCATGCCCATCTTCCTCTATTTTATATGTGGGATGCCTACCACAGCATGGCTTGATGAGTGGTGCATAGGTCCACGCCTGGGATCCGAACCCGTGAACTCCAGGCTGCTGACGCGGAGCACGCGAACTTAACCACTACGCCACTGGGCCGGCCCCTTCCTCTCCATTTTTAAAGGATCATTATGATTCCAATGGGCTCACCAGAACAACCCAGGATTATCTGCCCCTTTCAAAGTCCTTACCCTGATCGCACCTGCAAAGTCCCTTTTGCCATGTAAAGTCACACATTCACAAGTTCCAAGGATTGGGGCATAGACATCGTCGGGGGGCTGTTATTCTGCCACCACGGATGGGTAGGGTTGGATGGGGCATTTTGAGAGATGGGAGTCCAGTTAGAGGTCGTGTGGCATCCCAGGCATGAGAGGGTAAGAATTCCGATGTGCTGTGTCCCCCAGCCTCAGGGATGTGTGAGCATGGGGCGAGATGAGGCATCCCGGTCCTTTCTGTTACTCCTCCTCCTTTATGCCTTGGTGATGCTCCCAGAAGAGAAATGCAATGCAGAAAATTATTCACTTAGGAGACTGCAGAGTTTTAATGACATCTGGCCCTCAGCCACCTACACTGAGGCTCCTCTCTGAGTGGTCGGTCGGTTGAGGCGGAGGAAGGCGCTGGCTGGGGCGGAGTGGGGTACATGATGGTGAAGGGGGAGGTTGAAGGGAGTTTGGGGCCCTCCTCTCCATTTTGAAAGCACAGAGCAGTCCCAAGGGGAGGATAGCGATTGTCCATGAAAATAAATGAACACGCAGATGTATGTTAAGGCTCTGGTGGAGAGAGCAGCCCTCCAGTAACCTTTTTTTTTTTTTTAACTAGCTGAAGCTCCACATGAAAGAGAAGAGAGAGGACATTCAGATCAGCTGGTCCTTCATCAGCGTGCCGGAAATGGCCGTTATGGTCCAGCCCAGAGCACTGGGGGAGGTCAGTCCGTCAGTTCTGATGATTCCTCCATCGGTATGTGTGAAGACATGTGTGCGTTATGAACCTGCTCCGGGAAATGGAGGATCAATGCGTTGCTGATGTGTGCAGTCTCCTTCCCTCCTCCCAGGGCAGGGCAGTGACAGGGCAGTCAGCGGAGGGCTTTGATAGATTTAATGCCGGGCTCTCAACCCGTGCTATACCTGGAATCACCTGTCCCCTTTAAAAATGCTGGAGCCTAGAGCCTGCCCCCCACCCCCTATGTGGGTTTAATTGGCTGGGACTTGTTTAAAGCACTCGTGTGTGGCTGAGGTTGAGAACCACTGGAGTGATAGAAACCTAGATTTTCCTTGACATTCCATCACGCTCGATGATCAGATCCTCCCTCCAACCATGAGGCGCTTCGCTTACAGCTCGAGGTGGTTGTCCTAAGGGCACAACTCCTTTCTCTCCACAGTTTTTGCAAAGATGCTTTGAAATCTGGAGGCAAGCTCCTCCTGCTTCCACGTGGTGTTAGGTGTTTGGAGAGTGTATATGGGAGCAGGCAGTGGGCATGCCAAGTCGAGTCAGTGTTGTCACTTTCAGTTGCTGGAAAGATCCTGGAAAATCATTTATACCAGAGGCTTAGGTTGTTAGCTTACTCCCTTGCAATGGCTTGCAGTTGACTCTATTTCAGACTCATCCAACTGCTGAGATGTCACCACAGCTGAAATATGAGAATTTAATAGTTTGTCAACGCCTTGATGTAGAAATATGCAGGTTTTTTTTTAAGACGAATGAGTTTGTATTGTAATTCTTTTAACTTGTGTACATCAGAATTGTAATTTTGGCCTGGCCATTTAGTTATGCAAGGTGTGTGTGTTAAGTATTTTCCTTGGCGCCAATTCATTTTCTTTCCCATATTTCTATCTCCTTTCTCCCACAATGGGCATCCTCTGTTCAGGCCTACAATATGCACAGAACCGTTTTGTCACTTGCTTTCCCAACACCACTGCTGACTGCCAGCCAGCCCACCAAAGTCCAAGATTTTTCTGCTGGCCTTTGTGTCAGGCTGTATCCCACTGAGGGTACAGAGTTCTGTGTTCAAAAATTCCTCAAATTATTTTTTTTCTCTGTGTGGTTATGTTACCAACCTAATGTAGGTTAAGTGCATTTGCTTCTGTTTGTATTCAGTTTGGGTTTTGTCTCTGTCTTTGTCGATTTACATATGTTTTTTGAATGTGCAAAATATTAACATGGTTCAAAAGTCCAAATGACGTGAAAGGTTGTACTCAGAAGTCCATTCTCTGTCCCTGCCCCTTCTGCCCTTCCCTCCATCCCTGCACATGGTAATGTGTTCCCTTAGTTTTTGTTTATCCGTCCTGGGCTTCTTTTTGCAAAAATGATCTTATTCCCCCTTTCTTGCCCAAACAGTGGCATGCTGTGTGTGCTCGTCACTCCTTGCCCCCACAAAGCCCTGTGCATTTCTCTGACCACCCCGTGCTCCTCGTGTTCATGAGAAGCATGACCTCCCCAATGAAGCACTTGTATAGAATGAAGCCAGCTCCAGGCACTGACCCTCTGACCCGGCGGGTGAGATGGCATGGGGCAGGGAGCAGCTTTAAAGGAAGGTCCCACGTCAGCTGCTCTGGGGAATCTAAGATATGATGAAGGCTGATATCTGAGCACCCCAAACTCATCTTTCACACAGAGTTTGTCCTCTGTAAAGTGAGGACAAATTGTGGGGGTTAAAAAAGATTAAAATAGATAAACAACATGTGGTCTATCCATACCATGGAATATTAATCAGCCATAAAAAAGAATGCAGTACTGACACATGTTACAACACGGATGAAGCTTGAAAACACACTCGGTGAAAGGAGCCAGACATCAAAGACCACACGCTGTATGACTCCATTTCTCTGAACTGTCCAGAACAGGCGAATACATAGAGACAGCAGATGAGTGGTCACCAGGGGCTGTTGGTGGGGACGGATGGGGAGTGACTACTGATGGGTACGGGGTTCGCTTTTGGGGTGGATGAGAATATTTTGGAGCTAGATAGAGGTGATGGTTGTACCACACTGTGAATGTACTAAAGCCACTGTAATGTATACTTAAAATGATTAATTTTATGTGATATGAATTTCACCTCAATTAAAAAAAAATAAGTATATCAAGGGCCTGTTGAAGAGAAGATGATGGTAGAGCGGTTGTAAGTGCAGACCCTGTAGCCTTACTGCATGGGTTTGACTTCCAGCTGTGTGACCCTACACATGTTAATTAACTTCTCTGTGCCTTAGTTCCCTCTTCTGTAAAGTGGGGAGAATCATATTCAACATGGTTGTGAGAATTATATTAGTTAATACATATAAGTGTATAGAATCAAGCCTGCCACATCCTAAGAATAATGTATTAGCTATTTTGGTTATTATTAGAGTTCCTGGCAGAGAGTAGATTCTCAATAAATGGCTGATTTGGACTAAGGTTGTTATAACAAGGCCTGGCCAGCTGGTCATCCTTGAGACACTGCAGACGAATTTCTGAGATCACTCCAGCCCCACAAGTCAGAAGGTTTCAGTAGCGCTGTAGTCCTGGTGGCAATCCAGTCCTGTGAGTGTCCCATCCCTGTGAGCGGGGCGGGGATGGCTGGAGCCCACAGTGAGAGCATTTATGCCAGAGGTGACGAGGGACACCAGATGGCCCGTGTCATATTCCGTTGTGTGACTGCACCACAATTTATGTATCTGTTTAGCCGTTGGTGGATACTTAGGTGGATTCCAGTTCAGGGCTGTTATGCATAGTGGTGCTGTGAACATTCTAGAACAGGTGAATGCATTTCTGCTGGGTATTAGTTACTGTGGCTTTATGGAGGTTGCCTTCTGGTAATGTAAGTCATCAGCTTTGCTCTTCTTCTATAAGCTTCTATTATTTCTTCTTGGCCCTTTTCATTTGCTTGAATACTTTTTAATTAAAAAAAATATCAAATGTCACGCAAGAATGAAAAACCACGTGTCTGTATGTTTGGGGGATGACTGAAAGGATATACAGAGAAACGTTAGCATATTTCTGAGTTGCACGTGCCTTTATTTTTTTTTTTTTTTTTTTTTTTTTAAAGATTTTTTTTTTTTTTTTTTCCCCCAAAGCCCCAGTAGATAGTTGTATGTCGTAGTTGCACATCCATTCTAGTTGCTGTATATGGGACGCGGCCTCAGCATGGCCGGAGAAGCGGTGCGTCGGTGCTTGCCCGGGATCCGAACCCGGGCCGCCAGCAGCAGAGCGCGAGCACTTAACCACTAAGCCACGGGGCCGGCCCATGCACGTGCCTTTATTTTTACCATTTCTTAAAATAAGGAGCATGAGTCACTTCTGAGATCAGTAACAGGACCCCTTCTCCCGGAAGAGAACAAGTGGGTGTCTCGCCTGTCCTGATCCGACCCTGGGGCCCCGGCGACACCACGTTTGCTCCATCTCAGGGACGTAGTGAGGAGAGCCGTGCGTTTGCCTGTCCTTGGCGTGCGTGCATGGGTGTGAAATGATCTGGTGACTTCCTCCCCTTTCTGCAGGACCGGGCGGTCAAGACGAAGGCAGTGTCTGAAACGCTCCAGGATATTTTGAGGCACCTGGTTAGTTCCGCCTCCCCATCAGTGGTTCTGAGCACCAAGCCCATGGACGTGAGGGAAGTTCAGGTGAGCCCATTCGTGGGAGGGATGGTGGTCCGCCTCCCCTGGAGAATCTGTGTGCATTTCTGCTGTGCCTCCACTCTTCGTGGTGGAGCAAGATGGCACGAGCGCCTGCTGGTTGAGAATGGCCACGGTCGGGACAAAGCCTGGAGTTCAGCACACAGGGTTTCAAAGCCCCGTGGGATGGAAGGAAGAGGTGTCTGGGCCACTCAGTATTGTCCAACACTAATTAGCCCTGACCCTCTGATTTTCAGGAGCCAAAACTTGACTTTTCACTGTCCATTCAGAGCCCATTGTCTGGGACCACATCCTCCTGGGACTGAGGTACCTGGGAAACCCAATCAGCAATGAGAACATGTCCCCGAAGCAAGCAGGGCGAGGCGCACTGGATGCCCAGGCTGGGGGACGGCCTGATGACCTGGCCCTGCCTCTAATAGCATCTGCCCCTTGGAGCTTTATCTCCACTGGGCAGTGTGGGACACACGGGGCGATCTCCTCTGTGTGGCGCCCTTGTCCGTACTCCTCCCTCCCCGTTCTGGGGCCCTTCTCCACCGCCTGATGCGGGCGCTACTTCTTTGGCTAAATTCTCATCCCGGGCATTTGGCTTGGCCAGCCTCACTGGGCTTGGTCTCTCAAATCTTCATTGGCAACCTGTTTGAAAACCGTTGCTTAAGGTGAATTAATTCTCCCGATTATGAGTTGATCTTTTTATTATGATTATGCAAAACATGCATGTATCATCCCTAAAGGTATTTTTCATACGTATTTCTGCTAATTTTGTGTGGCATGGTAGAATATCCATCTTTATTATGTAGTTCTTGGTGAAGTCATTTTGAAAATATAACTTTTTTTTTTTTGCTTTTCTTTAAATTATTTGTTTTAATTGATGTTTTAATATTTTATAACATTGTGAAATTTTGGGTTGTACATTTTTGTTTGTCTATCGCCATATATATGTCTCCCTTCACCCCTTGTGCCCACCCCCTTCCCCCATTGCCCCTGGTAACCACAATGCTGTTTTCTCTGTCCATGTGTTTGTTTATATTTCACATATGAGTGAGATCATACAGTGTTTGTCTTTCTCTTTCTGGCTTATTTCACTTAACATAATACCCTCCAGGCCCATCCATGTTGTTGCAAATGGGATGATTTTGTCTTTTTTTATGGCTGAGTAGTATTCCATTGTATATATATACCACATCTTCTTGATCCAATCGTCAGTCGAGGGACACTTAGGTTGCTTCCACTTCCTGGCTATAGTGAATAATGCTGCAATGAACACAGGGGTGCATAAGCCTCTTTGGATTGTTGATTTCAGGTTCGTTGGATAGATTCCCGGTAGTGGGATAGCTGGATCATAGGGTATTTCTGTTTTTAATTCTTTGAGGAATCTCCATACCGTTTTCCATAGAGGCTGCACCAGTTTGCATTCCCACCAGCTGTGTATGAGGGTTCCTGTTTCTCCACATCCTCTCCAACATTTGTTGTTTTTTGTCTTGGTGAGTATAGCCATTCTAATGGGCGTAAGGTGATATCTTAGTGTTGTTTTGATTTGCATTTCCCTGATGATTAGTGATGTTGAACATCTTTTCATGTGCCTGTTGGCCATCTGTATATCTTCTTTGGAGAAGCGTCTGTTCATTTCCTCTGCCCATTTTTTGACTGGGTTGTTTGTTTTTTGTTGTTAAGTTGTGTGAGTTCTTTATATATTATGGAGATTAAGCCCTTGTCGGATATATGTTTTGCACATATTTTCTCCCAGCTGGTGGGTTGTCTGTTCATCTTGATTCTGGTTTTGTTTGTCTTGTGGAAGCTCTTTAATCTGATAAAGTCCCACTTGTTTATTTTTTCTTTAGTTTCTCTAGTCTGGGTAGGCATGTCATCCGAAAAGATTCCTTTATGACCAATGTCAAATAGTGTGTTGCCTATATTTTCTTCTATGAGTTTCATAGTTTCAGGTCTCACCTTCAGGTCTTTGATCCATTTTGAGTTAATTTTTGTGAATGGGGATAGCAGATGGTCCACTGAAAATATAACTTTTAATGTGGTTTTTATGGTGCGGGCTCTTGGTCCCTGGTTCCGATTCAGGCAGGCGTCACCCATCACCAGCAGTTAGCGTGTAGAGTCTGCAGGCAAAATCGGTTTGATTCGTTGGACAAATATCAGTTGATCACAGTGTTTTGTGCTCAGCTCCGGGCACTGGGGATTACGAGAGTATAAGGAATGGCTTCACCCTCCTGATGCGCACAGTGCAGCTGAAGGAGCAGCTGGAAAAGCAGACAGGAAGAGTGACGTGCTTGTGGGTGTTCATGCAGGCTTCCCAGGGCATGCAGCTGCGGGTGCTCAGCCCCCCAGAGAGAGGGGGCCGGGCCAGGCTTTCTGGGAGGTGAGAGCAGAGTCTCAGCTGCTCTCTCTTCCAGTAATCCTATGGTGCGGCTTTGTTTCAGATCAGAGGTGCCTGACCGTTTTGAATGTGACAATAAATTTTTAATGTCAAAATTTGAGAAACTTTGCAAAATAGTAGTGTATTTTTAGAATACATGAATTCGGAAAATAAAAGGACCAAAACCACCATAAATTCAATAATGTTTTTAAATAAATCTGTAGAATTTGTATATCAAAATAGCATACATATTGTTGTAGTCAGAGTTCTCTAGGGAAACAGAACCAATAAGGGGTGTGTGTGTGTGTATGTATATCTCGTCAGACTCCATAATTGCATGAGCCAAAATTGGCTCACATGATTATGGAGGCTGAAAAGTCCCAAGATCTACAGAGTGAGTCAGCCAGCTGCAGGCCCAGGGGACCTGATGGTGAAGTTCCAGTCTGTAGGCCAGCAGGCTCCAGACCCAGGAAAAGCCGATGTTTCGATTCGAGTCCAAAGGCAAGAAAAAACTGATCTCCCTGTTTGAAGGCAGTCAGGCATGAGGAATTCCCTCTTATTTGGAGGAGTCAGCCTTTTGTTCTATTGAGACCTTCAACTGATTGGATGAGGCCCACCCACATTAGAGAGGGCAATCTGCTTTGCTCAGTCTATTGATTTAAATAATGATCTCATCCAAAAACACCCTCACAGAAACACCCAGCATAATGTTTGACCAAATACCTGGGCACCCCACGGACCAGTCAAGTTGACACATATAATTAACCATCACACATATACAAGTGAAAAAAACATTTTGTCTCCATCCTAGATATGTGGATTGCTCTGTCCCCAGAGCTCATGGACCTGGATCTTACGGACTTTTGCAATTACTTCTTGGCCTCCCAGCACCCGCAGCTCACAGTTGGCAAGCCCCTGGTTCAGAGTAGCATTTTCCAAATGGTGACCTAAAGAACACTAGTATCGCTTCAGATGTTAGTCAGCATCCCCCACAAAGCGTTCAGAGGTCAGATCAGCACCTCGGATCCTTCCCTGGAAGGTTCTCACGGTGCAGAGGCCCATGACATCTCTGAGAAGCTGTTCCAGGGTTCCCAAATGTTCGTCCCTAAGGAGCCCCTTTCACAGAACAACCCACAGCCGTGAGTGAAAGGTGGAAGCTAGTTTGGGAAAGGCTGGTTTGAAGGTGGGGTCCTCCAGACTTGGAGGGGCTTTCTGTTGGAAATGCTCTGATGCCTTTTGGGGATACGATGACCAAAGCTGTCCCAGCTGCACCTTCTTGCTTCCTCACTAGAGCAACACCCAAATGATACTTAGATGTTCCCACGTGGACGGTGGATCTGCCTGGAGATGGGAAGTGGTCACGGGCTCGTGGCCTTAGCCATTCGTGTCTGGCTGGCATCCTGCTGGTGCTGGTGGGCAGTGGGTGCCTGCAGCCTGGAGAGGGCGTCCCGCTCCCTTCAGCACCTGGCCTGGGGTAGGCATGGACGCACAGCAAGCTTTGCCCTGGTCTCCACCCACAGCAAGATTCTGGGGAGCCGTCTCTGGCTGAATGCATTGCTACTTTGCTTGCTTTCTTGGGGATCGAAAAGGCTCCCGAGCAGGGGACGTGGTTACAGTTGGTGCATACCCTCCCTTCCATGAGAAGGGAAAATTGTTAGAGAGCAGACCCCGGCGTTCAGGCTCCCGTGCAGGTTTTCTCAGACGCCCCTCCCCGTAACAGGTGTCCGGCGGCCGCCGCTCCGGTCCTCTGTTTTCCCCGCGTCATCTCTTTGGCTTTCTTCCGCAGAATCTACAGTGCGCTTCACGTACTCCTCAGGAATCCTGTCCTCCCAAACCTCCCAGGGCTCACGAATTCAAACTCTTGGTGAAGAACATCCGAGCCTCGCTGCTACGTGATCCCGGTGCTTCAGGTGGGTGACGGGGCCGAGGGAAGCCCCGAGGCGCGGCAGGAGCCGGGCTGGCGTAGAGGTGCCTGTCCTGCATCCTGAGCAGAGGGGAGGGGGACTTGCAGGTTCAGTGGCCTTTGACGTCTCCTGTGGCTCCCTCCAATGGTGTGATCCCTGCCTCTGAGCGAAGACGGGCACCTGGAAACTGAAATAGTACAGAGAGACAGTTAAAAACACAATCCCGATTTTGCATACATGAAGAAAGCAATACAATTGTTGCTTTGCCCGTTTGCTTTTTTTTTTATAGTCTGGAAGTAACTTTTTTTTTCTTTCTGTTGCACCTGTAAATACATGTTAAGCACCCCTCACCAATGCGTACCTTCTGCTTTCCGGGAAGGCTAGGTGCCACATGGGAGGTTTATAGGCTGTCAACAAGGGCCTCTGGCTGCTCTCTGAGTGAGGACAGCCGTGTTGCAGAACGGTAACTCTGCAGGCGATTCTGTATTGCTGCTGCGGCTCCAAAGGTGGAGTAGCCTGGACAGGACACGTGTTTCCCCTGTGACTCAATTTTGCTCAGAATAGGAATGGGTTCTTTTTTACTGGCTGAGAACGTTAGGGATTACTTATCTTTATTTGCAAGGCATTTCTTCTGGTTCCAAAAGCACAGACCACATTTAACAGCCAAGACTCTGCAAAGCTAGCTGCAGGTGAGAGTTTTGGTAAAAGCGTTGTATGTTGCCCTCTGAGGCCGCCTTGCTTAGCAGCTGAGAGGGGCTCCCTGGACACAGCCGGCCAGGGTTAGGGTCCCCGTTCCTCGCCTCTGCCAGCAGATCACCGTCTGGGTCTGAGTCTCCCACTGAAGGTGAAGATTCGTGAGATGATGTGTGCAGAACACCTAACACCACCTGGTACCTGGTAAAGGGCCAGAACATTCCAGGATTATCGATCACACAGTGTATTCACGGCTTTATGCCTCAGGACAAGCATTGCCTGGAAGCAGAGCCAACTGTTTGCTAGTGGAATGTCCTATTATCTTGATCAAATACTCGAAAAAGGTTTTGACTAAGCAGAGTCAGGTATAAAAACACACATCCATTTTAAGTAGAGAGATGGATTCTCTGTGAGTATCCCCAAATTTAGGAGTCATCCCAGTTACCCTTCCTTTGGCCAGTGGTTAGTCTTGTCCAAAAGTGGGGCACACATCTCTGCTGTAGTGATGTTGCTCCCAGGGAGGGCCCCCCACTGGGAGGCTGTGCCTGCAGCCAGACCTGAGGGAGGGCAGGGGCACGTGGGGCCAGCCCAGGGCTCTAGACCAAGTGAGGGTAGAAAATGTTTAACCCCAAAGGAAGCAGGTGCTTTGAGGGTTTGTAAACAGCAATGAAAGAAACACTGGACCTGCAGAAGTGGGTGAGCCGAGACCTAAGGCATTTAGTTCCGTCTTTCTTTATATGCAAATATGTCTTAATGCAATTTAAAAAACAAAAATAAAAGCCTATATGCTGCTCCTTTGTCTGATTACAGGCCACATAAACCCACTGTGTGTAGTTCAGCTGAACGATCCTGTTCAGAAGTTCTCCAGCGCCCTCGCGAAAAACACTACCGACCTCATTTGGGAAGAAGAATTCACCTTGTGCGTACAACCCCATGTCATGGGCTTGGGTGTCCCCAGCCATACCTAGCAGCCTAGCCAAGCCTGCTAGACCCTGAAATCAGTTTACTGTAGCACTTCCATACCCAAAAGACAAAATTTAAAAAAATTTTTTTAAGTGTATTAAGCCTCTGAGGTAGCTTTAAGTCAAACATAGATTCTTTTTGAAGGCAGCTCTTAGTATCCGTTTCCTCCTCACCTACTCCCCCTTGCCCTCTTGTGACAAGAAAGACCTGTTGTTGGGCTTTCCACTTGCTTTAGAAACACATACCATCCAGAGCAGAATAGAAAGAAACTTCTGATCGATAGCAAAATCTGACAAAAAGAGTAGAAAAAAGGAAAAGTATACGTCACGTATAAATAATGATATAGGAGTCTTAAATAAAATGTTATCAAATAGAATCTGGCAGTACATTAAAAATAACACACTAAGACTGGCTGAGTTCATACCAAGAATGTAAGGATGGTTTAATGTGAGGAAATCTATTGATGAAATTCATTGTGTCAGTAGATCAAAGAAAACAAACTTATTATCTCTATATATGTCCAAAAGATATTCAGTGACATTTAATACCCATTCCTAATTTTATAAATCTTAATTAGGACAAGATTTACGGGCACTTCTATAATAAGATAAAAAAAATCACTAAATGATAAATAGAAGCCGTCTCACTGTCAAGAGAAGGATCCACTGTTTTGTTCTAGAAGTATTGGTTAGTGCAATTAGGTAAGAAAAAGAAATAACATACAAGTACTGGAAAGAAAGAGGCAAAACCAATCATTACTTAGTGATGGTATTATTGCATATCTAGACTACTCAAGAAAATCAATTAAAACTATTAGAAATAATGGATATAGGATAGAAATAAATACTATTAGAAAAACTAACAGAAATAATATTTCAGTAAAGGCTGACTACAAAAATATAGAAATCACTTTCTGATGCTTAAACAATAAAAAATTAGAAAAAGTAATGGAAGAAAATGTCCCATGTATAATATAAAGAGCTTTTATAAATCATTAATGAAAATGTGAAGACTCTCTTGGAAAACTGGGCAAAATTTATGAACTAGAAATACAAAAGCAAGAACTATAGATAGCTAGAAACTTCTGAAAAGACGTTTGATCTCAGAAATAAAATGATGAATCATAAACAAGAGATCATTTCTTTGACCTTCTGCATTAGTAAAGAATAAGAGAATGGGAATGGCCAGTGCAAGTGTAAATTGGAATAACCGTTCTGGAGGTCATCAACATGTATAAAAAGAAGAAAATCTCTTAAGTGCGTGTACCTTTTGACTGTCAATTACAGGTTTCCTAAGGAAGTAATCACAGAGTGTGTGCAAAGATATCTATATGGGGATGTTTATCTCAGCTTGTTTATAATGATGAAATATTGGAAACAACCAACCCATTATCAAGGGTTGGTTGTTAAGGAATTTGGCTAAATGAAATCTCATAAGGCCAGAGAGTGGGATACTATACACCTATTAAAAATTATGTTGCTTTGTAGTTATTGACATGGAAAGATGTCCATGATATCTTAAGTGAAAAAAATAGGTTACAAAGGAGGAGGGGGGTATATTATGTTCTATATTTTGTTTTTAGATAATTATATAGCTGCACTTTCTGCTACAGTAACTACTGCTAGCCACATGTGACTCTTTAAATTTCAATGAATTAAAATGAAACAAAATTAAATCCAGTTTCTCAGTTGCACTGGCCACATTTCAGGTTCTCGATAGCCTTATGTGGCTAGAGGCCACCATATTTGATAGCACCTATGTAGAACATTTCCATCGTCATCTGGAAAGTTCTACTGGACAATTCTAGAAGACTAGTCACCAAATTATTAACAGTAACTATTTCTGGATAGTGAGGTTGCAGATAATCTTTATATTTTTGCTTATATGTTTCTGTAGTTTCTTAAATATTGATGGTGATGTGTGTTCTTTTCTATAATCAGAAAAAAATACTATTTTGAAAAAATAATAAAGCATCTTTAAGGATCACAGCTCTTTTTCCTTTCTGCAGTGAGTTGAATGCTAAGTCGAAGGAGTTGTACCTGCAGATTTCACAGGATGGGCGAGCCTCAGAAGGTGGGTGATGAGCAGGTGGCCGGAGGCCCTGCTCTCTGGGAGGGTCGTCTAGCCGCGCTGACCACAGCCTTGGGAAGCGGGGAGGGCGAGAGACCCCGCAGAGGAGGCTGGCCCTCCCCCAAACCTCTCCAGGTCTTCCCAAGGGAAAATTTGTTTGAAAGTCCATTTCAGTTATTAACAAGGTCATACATTTTCGGAGAGAGTATGTTCAACTGGTTTTTTTGGTTTGTTTGTTTTTGTAACAAATACCCAAAATCTTTTATTCAAGAATTCTTGGCTTAGAGAAGCAGTTCTCAACCGTGACGGCCTCAATAGACTCTCTCTCTTTTTTTTTTTTTTCAATTGTGGTAAAATACATATAACATAAAAGTTACCCTCTTAACATTTTTGAGTGTAGAATTCAGTGGCATTAAGTGCATTCACGTTGCTGTGCAACCATCGCCACCATCCATCTTCAGGACTCTTCCTCTTGCAAAACTGAAACTCGTACCATTGCACATCGCCCCATTCCACATCGCCCCATTGCCTCCGCCCCCAGCCCCGGGCACCCACCATTCTACTTTCTGTCTCCATGGATTTCAACTGGCTTTTCCTGGTGAAATAAGCCACAGCAACTTAAATTGGGCACAAGCTTTAGATACAAGAAAGAAACAATGAGAAGTAAAATCCCTACGGTGGACATGGACCTGAACGTGTGCCCGTGTATAAATCATTGTTTCCATATTTATTAGATTTTTAAAAATCTCCACAAACATACCAAAATTGAGAGAGGGGGACATTTGCCTGGCTTATCCAGCTGTGAATCCAAGCTATTTGGTCATCTCCTACAGTCACAAAGACACAGGAAAAAGCAATCAAAGCTCCTGGTTATTAGCAAGAATTCTGAGGCAGTTTCCTTGATTCTGTCATCTTGAGATAACAGAGATGCTCCTGAGATAAGGGCTGATGTTCCCAGACTGGGCGCGTGGTGTGAACACAGGGTGGGGCAGCTGGTTGCCTGGAGAGAAGCCGGCTCCTAGTCCATTCCTGGGGCACCACTCCTGTTGGCACTGTTGGAATTTCATTCTAGTCCAGCCTGATGGGATCTATGAAATTTCCAACTTAAAAAAAAATTTCCAACTAAAAAAAAAATTACAACTATACACAGCCATGGACGGGGGCTTTGTGGGGGAAAAGGGAAAAAAAGCAGGAAGATTGGCAATAGATGTTAGCGTAGGGCAAATCTTCCCCTGCAAAAAAAAAAAAAACAGAACAAAGAACAACCATTTGCCCTTTACTCAGACTCACATATTTTTAACATTTTGCCCTGTTTCCTTTATTATTGGTGTCCACACTTGGTGGTTGCTCTCACTTGCTCCGTCTACACACACACACACACGAGTGAATGCACGAATCATCTGAGGTTCAGCTGCACGCACAATGGCCCTTACCCCTAGATTCTTCAGTGTGTATTTCCCAAGAACAGGGATGTTTTCTTAAGTGTCCACTGTAGTTATCAGCTTCCTGAATTTGCACTGATAACAGCTCTTTACCGCCCATATTCCCATTTTGATCAGTTGACCCGCTAACGTCCCTCATAGGGGTTATTTCCCACTTCAGTACAGGATCAGGTATTGCCTCTAATTGTCACCTCTCTTTAGCCTCCTTGGGTCTGGAAACTTTCCACAGCCTTTCTTTGTCTTTTATGACGTTGACGTTTTTAAAGTGTTCTGAAACTGGAGCGTTTTCCAGTGAACAGGACGTCCCCCAGGAGTTTGGTTGTTCTGGTCATGTTGACCTTTTGCTCTTGTGGAAACATCCACGGGGCTCCTCGCTTGTCTCCTGTCTTTCAGCTCTGCTGGCCATGACGACTGTTCCTCTAGATTTGTTTAAGAAGCAGCCCTCTGGGCCACAGAGCTTCACTCTGACCAGTGGCTCCTCCTTCGGCAGCTCGGTGTTGGGGTCGGTCACGGCGGAGGTAGGACGTGGCTCCCCGCCATGGCCGAGTTCCGGCTTGACTCACTTGGGATGGGAGCATCTTCATCCCTGTCTGTCAGAGTCTTGTTCTTGCTTCAGCGTAAAACAAGAAGCTCGTCCCAGAAGAGCTGCTCTTTTGTGCTAGGCATTTCTAGATTTGACAGGGACCCCTCCTGCCCATGATGGTGTTGAGTTGTCTGCCATATGAAATAACTTTCCAGGATGCCTTTTCATGTGGGCTTAACCCAGAAAGGGCTTTTTTCTTTCGTTTGGTTCTCCAGCTTTTGTTCCCATCATTCTGTGTTGGTGGCTGGGTTTGAGCATGGGTTTCATCATCCTCTGTCAATTCTGGGGAAATCTGGGTTAATTATAAGTTAATTCTAATACTAAGTGACATTAACTGAAGAGATCAGTGGTGATTTCGGAGCAAGTCAGCATTCCATGGTGGGATATTGGTCTTCGCACTGACTCTAAGGCACATAACCAGCCTTCTCTGCAGTTTTCTTACGTAGAACCCGGTGAAGTGAAACCCTGGCAAATGCCTCCTCCTGTTCCTGCTGCAAAGATAGAGAAAGACCGCACGGTGATGCCGTGTGGGACTGTGGTCACTACTGTCACTGCCGTGAAGAGCAAGCCTCGCTTTGACACGGGGAGGGCATCCCCACTGAGCTCTGGTGAGAGTGGAGAACAGTGTCCCCGCAGAGGCTCTGAAGTCAGGCTCTCCCTCTGGGTGTCTTCCCTCTATAAACTGCAGAACGCTGCAGGCTGCGGTATTGAGTATTATTAAGAAAATCTCATGGCACAGGAAGGATAGTAATTGGAAAGACTTCTGCTTAGCATTTTTATTAGGCAATTATCTTTCTATTTTGTCAAATAAATACATGACAAGCCACAGCAAGGATCAACCCTGTAGTATATTCTGATGCTAAACTCTAGATATTGGATGAAACATGTAGTTAAATTAAGTACTCCATTACCTTTACATGGGGACAGCACACTATCTTGAAACATTAGATATAAGCAGTCAGTGTAGAGTTTTTTATGTTAAAAACCATTCATTAGAAGACTTGATGTGCAGTCGTTTTAGATCCAGCTGAATTCTGTACCTGTCCCCACAGCCACCACCTGGGAGACAACTTCCGTACAAGTGTACGATTTATGATTATTATTTTTTATTTATACTGGTTTCTGCTTATACAAAAGTATTATCTTCCCAGAACAGATTGCTTGGCACAGTTCTTGAATGCAAAACAGAAAGTGAAATTCTGCCTTAATTAAAATGTTTCTGAAATTTGATTTAAACCTGGGCTCCCAACACCACTTCTGGGCAAACCCTCCGCCACCCCCAAAAAAAGGATAAGAGAGATGTTAAAAAATCTTCAGGTTTGGCCCTAGCCTTTTCCACCTGCATGAAGTCGAGTGGAAGGGAGGCGTGATTTCACTGTCAGGGAACCGTTGATTCGACGGCTTTTGGAGGGCTGTCACCATCAGGATTTCTCCCGATTTCTCCCTGGCAGAGTCTCCCCTGAGGACGCCTGTCAAGGTGAGGGTGATCGAGAAGGACATCTCCGTCCAGGCCATCTCCTGCCACGGCGCTCCGGTCAGTAAGACATTCTCCTCGTCAGATACAGGTAACGGACACCACGCTCGTGGTCATTCTCCCTCTTAGCTTCCTCCAGGCTCGTCCCACAAGCCTCTCTCGTCTGATGAGAAGTTCGAATTTCCTTTCTGGAGCGTGGGAGTTTTTTTGAGTAATAAGTGAAGAACTAGAAGGAGAAAAGGGAAATCGAGGTCGATCAAAGACCAGGAATGACGTTAGCATCCCTGCTTTAAGTTTAGGGAACGCTTTAACCAAATAAACAGGAAAACGCAGCTGATGCCGCACTTTATGAAATTTCTGAACATCAGTTTTTCTCTTGTTCAACATACCAGTTACATGAATACCATAAAATAAGTAGGACTCAGGAGACGTAATCATAAAAGCAACTTTATTGTTGTCTCCCTTGGTCCCGTGAAACCCGTTTAATAGGAGTAGTTTCCTCCAGAGCTCTGGATGCAAATTTCACATTTTTTGGTCACTTTCAGGTAATAAACATCTGTGAAGAGCTGTGTTACTGCGTTTTTGAGTCACAGCACAATCTAAATTTGGGGATTAAATGTTTTCCCTTGGCTCATATGACCTGCCATCAGAGAAGGGGCGAGCAGGCACTTCTCTCTGGCTCATGTCCCTGTTCACTGAGTCCTGTTCTGATCTTGCCAAGGTCTAGGATAGGCAAGCAGGAGTGGTGGAGGGGGTGGGTAGAAAGTTCTCATTTGACGGTGCTGTCATAAGATGGTTTTGCATTCTCTCAGCCTGGGCGGAAGTTGAAAAGGGCCTCTTTCCCTTGTGGGAGTTGTCATGGTTCTTGGGATACAGCCTGCAGGGTCCACCCAGCTGCAACTTCCTAGACACAGGCGGTGCCTCTCCCTTGGCTGGCTGCTCCTGAAGGCCCTTTCTCTCTTTCTGCCCCTGGCAGGACACCCCACTGCCTCATGCTGCGGGGCACCCTGCACCTGGGCAGGTTCCCTTTTTAAAAGACCCTGGGGTGACGTTCCCGCTGTGGCTTCCTCCCCTGGTCCGTGAGCAGCGGCGCGGCCCCCAGCATCAGCTCCCACCTCGTAGCCAGGGGCTGCAGTAACGTTCTCAGGCACGCTGAGCACCTTGACAGGGCTTTCCAAGGACGGCACAGAAGCTCTGGGCTTGGTGTGCAGAGGTGGCAGTCCCATACCTGTCCCTTGGAGGCATTGAGAATCACAGCACAGCTCTCTCCTCAGGAGTCCTCCCCGAGTCCTTTCTCGTGACCATCTCTCTTCTCCCCGAGGGTCATGGTCGAGCAGTTCTTGGCCACGTTGTTCTGGTCACCCCTCCCTTTAGAAACGTAGCTTCTGTTGTCCACAGGCCACGGCCAAAACTGAGAAGGGAAAAGTTCCTATTCACGTCCTGCTCCTTTAATTGTGTTGTGGTTTTAATTTAACCTTAACAGAAAAGTGTAAGGTCTAAGCACCAGCTCTGAGTCTAAGAGACCTGGCTGGACATCTCGGCTCTGCCGCCTACCTGGCTGCCTGACAATTTCCCCATTTCTCAAATGGGGATAAAAAAAGTACCTCCCTCATCAGGTTTGGGGGATGATTAAAATGAAGGAGCGTGCGCCAAGCTCTTTGCACGGTGCCCGGTACACAGTAAGCATTCTGCAGGCGTTGCCCAGGGTGGGGTATTTCTAACCGTGGGAAGGAGCTGGCCCTTCACGGCTCTGAACACCATCATGTGTATTTAACCACTCTTGGTCCAGAAAAGGAGTAACTGCATTGCCTTGCAAAGTTCAACCTCTCCCCAAAGGTTAGAGGTTTTTTGTTTACCTGCGTTCAGTGTTTTCTCAGCACCTCGATGGAGGTGTAACTTCCATACAATAAAACGTGTGGATCTTAAGTTTACACTGCAATAAGTGGCATGTAACCACACAGAGAATCTGCTGTAGACGAGGGTCAATAAACATTTTTAATTTTTGCTAATGTGTCGACATTGCCTTCCCTCCACAGAACTGTTGGTGTTGAATGGTTCTGACCCAGTGGCCGAAGTCGCCATTCGACAGCTCAGCGAATCTTCGAAGCTGCCGCTCAAGTCGCCGAGGAAGAAAAGCACCCTCATCATATCCGGGGTCTCCAAGGTGCAGCCTCGCGTGGGCGCTCCCGTCTATCCTGGCCGCCACCCCTCCCCCTTGTAGAAGTTAGCCCAGCTCTTGGTCAACTTCCAGAAAGTTCCATTTATAAATGTCAGGTTACTTTCCTCACCCAACGAGGGGGTTATTCGTGGTATTGCGTTTACGTGGCTTATCCTGTTTATGAAGGAAATTTTCGAGTTTCTGACCTGGGATGCTTTGGCTGTTGAGAGGTTGGTGAATCATTTGAAGAAAAATTATCGAAAGAGAAAGACCGACATGATGTCAGACTCCCCGCTGGGACAGAACCTCCACCCTCGTCACCGTTCGATTATGGGGAGCTTTCACTTTCCACATTACACATTTCTAAACCATTTTAATTTTTTGCAATGAATGTGTCTGCCTTTTGCAATCAGAGAGAAACGCAGATTGCTTTAAAACATATCCCGATCCCCATTCCTTCCCTTCTCCTGCTCTGTGACATTTGTCCAGGCAGATGGTGGGTGCGAGGTCGTCCCTGGTGGACGCCATGCAGGCCAGGCTGCTGGAGAGGCCAGCCCCTCAGGGCAAGGGTTACCTTACAGTGCCTTCCTTTTTTTTAACATTTTAGAATGAACAAGGAGAGTGTGAGCAGTGGGGGGACGGTTGGGAGATTTGGTAGTTGGGAGGGGTTGAGGAGGAAGAAGAAGTTTTGAACAGGGAGGGTGGGTTGATGCTTTGAGGGCATGAGAGGGTAGGACAGCAGGGCACGCTGAAAATCCACCCCTCAGCTTCAGGGAGAGGGGCCAGAACGGGTCACGGGAGGTGCCAGAGGTGAGTCACCAATGCTGCCATTATACTCAGGATGCAGTGGCCGGTGCTCAAGTCCCAACAGGTACAGCTCCCAGGTGGCTTTGAGCATCATCGCCCAGAGGCGATATGGTGCCTCTCTGGGTTTTCTGAGTGCACTTCCAGTGTCAGCCAGCAGGGGGCGATGGCGCCTCTGGAAGCGCCCAGGGCCCAGTGTTGGGTTTTCTTTAGTCCTGGATGAACTTGCACAAAATAAGGATGAGACTGGGGACCGCTTCCTCCAAGCTTTCTCTAAGGTTTTATTTCAGAGTCATTAGGAACTCATGGATCTTAACATTTAATGTACCCAACCCACTGCAGTTATTATTTTTACTGATGCTCAAACTGTCCCCTCTTGAGTCAGTGGGCACTTCTGCAAGCTGGCACTTGAGTCAGAAACATGCAGTTGTCACTAAGCGGAGTCTCCTGTGTAACTGCCCTGCAGATCCTGAGCAGCAGACCGCCCCCAAGGAGCCCCCGTGTCCCCTGCAGTCACTTCCCTACCCTCCAGGGAACCACCTTCCCAACTCCCCACCCCATAGGTTAGTTTAGCACATACATATGTTTGACACACAAGTATAGTTCTCAGGATACATAGTGTATACGGATTAATTTTAATTAATTAATTAATAAGCAGGAAACATAAAAATGCTGTAGGATCAAAGCTTGAAAGATAAACTGAATCTGAAACTCCGAAGCCCCCTTCCTCTGTCATTCTGCCTACTATCCAAGACTTAAAAGGACGTGCCCACTCTTCCGTCTCATACCCCAGCCTTCCACACGCCCCTAGCTGGGCCCCTCTGCTGGGGAAGGACGCTGAGTGCTTCCTCAACACCCTCCAACCTGCGAACTCCTCGCTGCCAGGTGACCCGACCCTCTGCTGTGAGCAGGGAGCTGCATGGCTGCATTTTCACCCCCTGAGATGCAGCTGCCATGTTTTCTCAGCTGCCTCTGTGGAGGGCCGGGGCGTCTTCTGACACTGAGATCACCAGTCAAGATGTTTGCACAGTGCTTTTCAGGCCATCCCACGCCCGTTCCTCCTTCCATGCAGCCTCGTGATCTTTCCTTACGCTGACTTTTTCTTCCACCCCCCGACAGACCTCACTGTCTCAGGACACTGACGCCGCCCTGATGCTGGACTACGTGGGCTCCATGGACAGCGCCCGCCAGGCGGACGCCCCGTCCCATCCGGGGGCGGCCGCAGCCTCTGACCCGCCCGAGGAAGAGGCCTCAGCCCAGGCCCCGGCGGCCCTGGAGCCCCAGGAGAGTGAGCTAGACTCCTGGGACTTGGAGAAGGAGTCACAGGCCATGGCGTGGGGCAGCCAAGTCCTGCTGGACCCCGACGGGGACGAGCTCTCGGAGAGCTCCCTGAGTGTCTCGGAGCCGGGCGCTGCCAAAAAGCATAAAGGTACCTGCCCTCCCCCTGCACCGCCCCACCTGATGGCTTTGCTCTCCTGGTAGTTGCCAACCTCACTTTTAGTTCTCATCGTCTGCTTTCTTTCCCTTCTCTACAAATCCATCCCACCCTCAGCACCCCCACCCCAAGAAAAACACCTGTGCTGAATGGTTGAGCCCATTTAGAGCCCATGGGCAGGGGTGGGGCAGGGGGCATATTCAGAATCCTTCCTAGTGTGAGTGGCTGGGTCATCTCTCTGCATTTTAGGGGGTCCCTTTCAGGGAAGGGGGTCAGCCTTCCTCTGTCTGGGCTCCCCACCCTCCCAGGAGTAGAACTATCCAGAGCATTTAGAGGGGTCACCCAGAGCCTTAGACACGATGGAGCAAGAGACTCCGAGCACAGCCGGGCGGAGACTGGTTTCCTCCAGCTGTGGGGATTGGCACTCTACTCATTGGTGCCTCGCAGACTCTTCCCGCCAACTTATACCAGACCACACCTCACCGCTTGAACCTCATAGGATCCACGGGGAGACAAGCTCCCTAGAAAATTCACCGATTAACTTAATATGTGTGTAGTGATGAGGTAATCGTGTCATTAGAATCATCGATTTTTTCTATGAGCACTAAGTCGGTGCTCTAAATTTGTAAATTTCCTCAGTGTATGCAGTGTACCCAGATGGTGCTTTGGCGTGACAGTCACCTAAAGATACTTGCGGAGGGAACATAGTCTAGGGGTCGATTCTAGATGGGAGACTGGACTCCTGAGCCTCAACTTCCTCCTCCCTAAACGGGGGTGTGTCCACCTCCCACCCATCCCCCCAGCCAGGCAGGAGTGGGAGGTCCCGGTGCAGAGGACAGGATGGGAGACGAAGGCAGGTGCTGGGCCATGGTGGGAGTCCTGGGTGCAGCTCAGCGCTAGGTCCCAGCTCCCCGGGAGTGTGGACTCGGGAAGTCCCAGCCTCTCTGGGTCGGGGACCTGGAAGCTGCCTGCCGCTGCCTCTCTGCTCCTCTGTTCCGGGTGCTATAGACCAGTGCGTCTCACACCGGGTGATTGTGCCCCCAGGGGACATTGGCAGTGTCTGGGGATAGTTTGGTTGTCACAACTGGGAGTGGGGGTGCTGCTGGCAGGTAAATAGAGGCCGGGGCGCTGCTCAACACCCCGTGGTGCACAGGGCGGCCCCGATGTCCGTAGTGCCGTGGTCGAGAACCCTGCTGTGGACGGTCTGTGTCCATCCTCACCCACCTCTTCCCGTTGGCTTCACGTCTCTCCCCCGTGGCCCACCCCCCTGGCTGAAGCAGAGAGGGCACAGGTCGGGGAGGAGTTGGAAGTTAGAAGAAGAAAAGAGAGAGAGAGGAGGAGGATTCCCGGATGTGATTTCCAGACCCTGTGATGACGATCGGGCCACTGGCCTCCATCTGCTTGCTGCCTGGTCTCGGGGGACCTGATCCCGTAGACCGAGTCTGGGTCACCTGGAGCAGCTTGGGAAGCTGTCACCATGCAGTGACCTCTGGTGGCTCCCTCACTTCTGTTAAGAAGGCTCGGCCCAGGTTATGGAAAAGGCGACCTGGTTGCTGATCCGCAGTGTGACACACAGCCCTGGCCTGGTCCTTGTCCTGGGGCCGTAGCAGCCCAAGGGGGCTCGCCTGGACCTGAAAGGCGGGTGGGCACTGGGCAGGTGGAGAAACAGGGAGGCGCGGGGTGGGGTGCCCCTCCTCTCCCTTCTTCTGCCCGACGGAGCGTTTCCTCTTCTCACAGAACCCAAAGCTCCCACCCCGCCCTCCTCTGTTCCTTCTGACCCCGGGTCCAGTCAGAGACCACTGTCCATTCATCCCGTGGCTTCCTCCCTCTGCGTTTCCTTCCAGAGAGTTCTTTCCCTTGGGTTTCCATCTTGCTATGTCGTGGCCATCCTGCTCCTTTCCCATCACTGGCCAGGTGGATGACCCCCTCAAAACAGGCACTTTTGGGGACCTAGGTGCCAGCAAGTGTGCTGGGGGCCCCTCCAGCACGTGCTCCGTGCTCCACCCAGAGGCTTGGCATTTGGGAAGGAAAGCGGGATATTTAGCCCTGCGGCACATTCCACTCTTACATCTCCCCCTCAGACCCCAGATTTTTTAAAGGGACATATTTGGCAGTGTTTTTAAAATTGCTTTTTATTCCAGTGTTTTCTGCGAGATTTGTACTCAGCATCTCTATGAGATGTTGGCAGAACCTTAGACGATTATGTGTGATGGGTGCCAAACAGTTTTCGTTTTCCACCAAAAATTTTCTGAAACTGGTGATAGAGGGAGTGGCCCTGTGGAGTTTTCGCTCATTTTTAAACTAAAGTTTATTTTTTGGCTTAAGAACCACCTGTATCTTCTGTCGCGGCAAGGAGTTTGCACTAGGTTTCTGAGACTGCCTGCATATTTAGAGTTCTTCCCGAATTTTGCTGGTTGGAAATGTACATAGTGAGATGCTACCAGCCAATACAGGAAATTTATTCCCCAAATTTGGGTTTATTTTTACCTTCACAAGTATTGATGTGGTGACACAAGAATGGGAATATACTTAATACAACTGAACTGTGCACTTAGAAAAGGTTAAGATGGTAAATTGTATGTGTATTTTGCCACAGTTAAGAACAAAAGTATTGATGGAACTTTGAAAAATATTAAAAAGTAAAAAAAGCAAAAAAAAACCCCTGCCAAATGTCCTGCACAATAACTTCATATGTATGTATAACGGAAATGCTTCCAAACTCTCACTGTCTTTCATTCTTGTTTTGCTCTCGAATGCTTTTTTTCTTACCTTCTCCGTCTCTTCATCTCGTGCTCATTCCCTTTCACTTAAGAGGATCGCTATGCCAGCCAGAATTAATTGCCTACACAGTAAGTTAATTTTGTCTTAAATTTTTTTTTAAAAAAATGAAGTGTAGCCTTGCTATGAGAAAAGCATGTATTCTAACAGAGGAGGAAGTGGGTCCCTCTTCTCTCCCTTTTTCTTCCTCTCTCTTTCCGGTGTCACCTTCCCAGTTTGCTGGTTTTCCCTTCTGCTCCTTAAAGTGCCCTGGTCAGGTTAGTGATCTTCATCTCAGTGGGTCAGGGGAGGGCATTCCTGTTAGCCGATGTGACAAAACAGCCTGGCTATGAAATGCATACGGACTGGTTCCCTTAATCATCCTCCTGACTAAAGAGGAGTCACTTTCATAAACAGACCATGTATGGTTTAACTTGAAATCTCAAGCTATTCTTGGGGCAGCAAACTGCAGTTCGTCAGGTTGCTCCTAGTCACTGTTTTTCTACCTATCCAATTTTAACACGGATCCCTCAATGAGCTATTTATATCTGTTAGACTCTGAAGACAAAGCAAGAATAAATTTGTAAATATTTGCAATAGTAAAGCTCTAACTTAGAATAATTAGTTTTGAATTCCTTCATTTACTTGTTTATTCTCCAGCCTTCTTGTGATGTTTTTTTAACTTTGCTAGAACCTGGGAAAGATTTTTTTTTTTCCTTCCTCCCTGTCACCCATTTAAGATTTTGCTTATTTGCTTCATATTTCACATAACCTAGCTCCAGATTTTATCTTAAGGAATCTTTATGGTCGTGGGTGAAATCTGAGTCTTGCCTCTTGCCTGCTGGTGTGGATAGGGTGGCCTGGGGTCAAGGAGTTTGGATTTATGGAATTCAAATGGTACCAGCCCCGCTTACCCAGTTGATGTGAATGTTCCTCTCAGCGAAGGGAGACAGATTCTGTGGGCCCACAGTCCAGCGTGACATACCAAACTATTCGTTATTGTGTCAGTCAGGGTTCTCCAGAGAAACAGCCCATAGGTTCTGTATTTCAGGGAAGTGCCTCCGTGGTTGCGAGGGCTGACAATCTGAGATCTGTAGGTCCGGCCGGCAGGCTGGAGTCGTGGGCAGGAGCTGATGCTGCAGCCTTGAGGCAGAATCTCTCCCTCTCCGGAGACCTTAGTTTTTGCTCTGAAAGCATTCAGTTGATTGGATGAAGCCCATCCACGTTCTCCAGGCTAATCTCCTTTAGTTCAGGCCAACGGGTTGTCAAGGTTGACCACATCTACCATGTGCCTTCATGAAACACTTAGATTAGCCTGGAATCACTGGGTGCTCGGGCCACGCTGACACGAAAAACTGACCACTGCAGTCATTGTTAGTGGAGATGGCACCACGTAGTATTACTTCCCAGCCAGTGAGGGAGTATGCTTGCCTGTCTGTGCTACGACCCACACCCCCCAGGCGATGGCCATGCCAGGGTCCCCTGAGCAAATCTGTGGCCATGTTCTTCCCGCATTATCCACCCCAAAGGTAACTGTGATATAGTGGTCGAGTTTAAACAGACTTTAACATTTTTTATTTAGAAATGAAAATGGAGTAACCTCTGTGTATGCTAGTTATTCTTCATGTTTGGTGAGTTAAACCGTGGGCCCTGGAGAGGGGTTTGCATTGCTAGAATGTCCTGTCTGGCCCATGCCACCAGCGTGCCTCTCGGGAGATTTATGTAGTTCTAGAATTCCTGCCTGAGTCCATGCCGGAGTGGAGGGCTCTGCTCCGTGATCCCTCTGGGAGCTGCGATCCATCCTGCTCTCCGGAGGCCTCCCCAGTGATCGCCCATGGACGTGCCCTTTACCAGACACCTGGCTGGCCACTTCTCAGAAATGGGACACATCCCCTCCGGCTCAGACGCCGTCCGTAGCAGCACAGAAGAGCCGGACGTGAGAACACGGGCTTTCCACCTGGGCCCACGTTAGTAGGACAGAGCATGTCACCTCTTTGAACCATGGCTTCCTCATTTGTAATAAGTTAGAGATAAGATCTCCCTCGGAGGTCTTTGGGAGATGTAACTGGGGCTCCAGCCTGCAGATTTGCAAACCTCAGTCCCTCCCCTCACACGAATGTCCTCTGTCCAAGAGGCCGGTATTGTCCCCATAGAAGCTGTGACATGTTGTATCAAGTTAGAGGAAACGCAGGGCTGGTGAGTTGTGCAAACGACTTCAGGACAGTTTGCACCAGGGTACATGTGACCCTGTCTGGTTCTGGCATGGACGCTGAACCTGTTGGGGAGGGCGTGAGCGAGGACGGAGGAACACCAAGTACCCCACCGTGGGCCCGTCAGCGCGGCGCGTATAAGCAGGCACAGGGCTGCCAGGCGGGGGGAAGCTGCTGAAACCAGTGGGCCTTAGACCAGGACAGACCGCAGCCCATGGTGGAGCTTAGAACAAATAGGGCATCTTTCTACTCTCCTGACTTAATTCACAGGCTGCGAGTCCTTCATATTTTATGCTAGTGTGGCAAGAATTTGAACTGTAGGCATTTAAAGTATAATTTCATTTAAACGAGTTATAGTGATTGATGGAAAACATGCAGATGCCCTTTTTAAAGAATGTTGAACACAGCCGCCCTTTGCCTGTCCCCACTCTCTGGCTTCCCTCTTAGTCTGGTGCAAACCCATGCTTCCCAGCAGCCAGGAGCTGTGCCCCGCAGGGTGGCTGCCTCTGTCCCCTGATCCACACAGCCCTAAGATATTGGAAAATGTGAAAAGGCATCAAAAAACTACATAAGAGAAAGTAAACATACCGCTTACTGTCCATCTCTGGTCTGTTCCCCTGGTGTTGACATCTCTGGTCCTCAGCAAAGTGTTCTAGATGTTTGAAGTGCTAGTGGCAGTTGGACCTGACCTGGGCCAGTGGTTTTCAACCCCAGCGGCATGTTAGAAAGCCCTGGGATCTTTTAGAAGATGCTGATGTCTCGGTGTCTCGCCAGACCCGATCACACCAGATGGGCCTGGCCTCTGGCATTTTAAAAAGCTGCTGGCCGACTCTAGCGCGCCTCGGGGCTGAGAACACTGCTCTGCTGGCCACCCCCCAGCTCCTCATCTTCCCCGTGACGTGCCAGGGTTCCGAGGACTAAGTGGGAAGACGAGGCTGGCTGTTTCAGGACCCTCATCTTATGTCAGATACTCCCCTCACCTTTCCCATCTGTATTAGATTCCTGGGGCAGCCAAAGCACAGTACTGCTGATGAGGGTGGTGATTTTAAACAACAGAATATATTCTCTCTCAGTTCTGGAGGCTGGAAGTCCAAGATCGTGGTGTCAGCAGGGCTGGTTCCTTCTGTGGCTGTGAAGGAGAATGTTCCAGGCCTCTCCTAGCTTCTCGTGGTTTTCTGGCAGTCCTTGGTGTTCTTTAGCGTGTAGAAGCATCACCCCAATCTCTGTCTTTACCTTCACGTGGCGTTCTCCCTGTGTGTGTCTGTGTCCAAATTTCCCGTTTTTATAAGGACACCAGTCACATTGGAGTAGGGGCCACCTGGTGACCTCACTGTAACAATTATATCTGTAAAGACCCTGTCTCTAAATAAGGGCACATTCTGGGCCAGCCCTGTGGCTTAGCGGTTAAGTGTGCGCGCGCCGCTACTGGTGGCCCGGGTTCGGATCCTGGGCGCGCACTGACGCACTGCTTCTCCGGCCATGCTGAGGCCGCATCTCACGTACAGCAACTAGAAGGATGTGCAACTATGACATACATCTATCTACTGGGGCTTTGGGGAAAAAAAAAAGGAGGAGGATTGGCAATAGATGTTAGCTCAGAGCCAGTCTTCCTCAACAAAAAAAGAGGAGGATTAGCATGGATGTTAGCTCAGGGCTGATCTTCCTCACAAAAAATAAAAAAATAAAATAAATAAATAAATAAATAAATAAGGGCACACTCTGAAGTACTGGGGGTAGGACCTCAACGTATGAATTTTGGAAGGATGCAATCCAGCCCATAACACCGCCCCTGCTCACTCCTCAGACCCTGCTCCCCACCCCAGACTGAATTTCAGTGCAGGGACACATATGAAATGGCCTTTGGAGATGGAGCCTTCCAGAGAGAACCTCTTAGGGCTGGCTTCCAAGTCCCTAGGTCACTAGCTGACCCAGGGGGTGGACTGGTCTGATCCCTCCCCAGGCTTCTGTTTCCTGCAGGGAGATTGGGGTGCGGGATGGGATCAGAGCAGTCCAGGTCAGGCTAATGGATCCCTCAGACCTTCCTTCCTCTCCTCTATTCCAGAGTGAGAGCCCAGGGCTTCTGATATGCTGGGTAATTAACTGGTAGGCACCACTGCATCCACCCTACTGGCCAGACTCCAAAGTCAAGTCCAGGTGGCGGTACGATTTGCATTGTAACACACCCTATCTGGTGACTTTTCCTGATACGCTGCATCGTGCGGGGATCCAAATGGCTCCAGGAACGGACATTTATGGCCCACAGATGTAGCCCACGAGGCCTGCTGACAGGAGAAAAGCCACTTACATTTATACTCACCCTTCTGCTTTATTCCCTTCCCAGCCGTCCTTAAAACCCCTGCACACAGCCTCCCAACGTTAGATAATTGTAAAAAAATGCCCTAATGATTCTTCGTAATAGGCTACTTGATTACATCCAAAGAGAAAATGAAAAAAAAAAGTCTTTTCAGCAGCTGTGACCAGATTAAATTGGTCCATGCCTTGGAGCTTCTCCGTTCTGCTGCTCAGCCTGGGCCAGAGGTAACAGGACAAGGAAGCTCACCCTGAAACGCCGGGTCCAGCCTCTTAAGGTCGTGGGTGGGCTGCTCTTCTGTGGTAAGCGTTGGTTATTCAAAGGCCTGTAGACGGGGCTGGATCAGATCCCATGGTTGTGGTACACATTTCACGTGGGAGAGCCACCTGACGCTCTTCATCCTCCCCTTGGAATAAACCTGGATGGTTCTTTGTCTGTGTCATGGCCATTGAGGTATTTATTGGCTCTATCATAAAAAGAATGAATTTCCAAATTAGCTATAAAGTTCCTCATCACCATGGCCAGGTCTGTCTTCTTTCAAAGTCGTTAACCCCTACCTGAAAAGGTAATGAGTTTCACAGGCTAGCTCCCGGCCCTGGCTGGGCCCTGGTTCATAGGACGTGACGCTCATCGGTGAAGGTGTGAGCAGCTTGGCGGGTTCCTGCCCCTGTTTCCACATTAGCTTGCATTTGATCTTTAAGGAATCCTTGCTGTTGAAATTATTGTTGCTGCAGCTGCTGTAATTTTTCTTTTCTGTTCCATATTCCACTGCCTGACATCATGTACAGAGAGGTCAAACCACACAAAAAATTGAGGTTTTGTAGGTCAAAAATGATCAAGGAACAGACATTTCATACGTTTTAGCCTGAAATATATACAGTAGGATCTGGAGTTATAAAAAATCTTAGTCCCCAAAGAACAGATATTATTTAACTTGCCTAAGAAAGTGAATACCATTGTTCTTAGGGTCTTTAATTTGGTTTTAATAGCATGACCATCCTTTCTGGGGCACATGGTACTGGTTTGATATTTGCACCCTTCCTGATGAAGGGGAGGAGGTGGGCTTAGGGGACACCAGGGGGCAGCCTGCCGCCATCTGGTTTGACTAAAACGCCAGTGATATAAATACCTGCCCTGGGAATAGATCCCAAATGATAGTCCAGCCTACTGCTTCTGTATTCATAATCTGCCTTTCATTTCATCTTGACAGCTGTGGATTCCAGCTGTTTTTCTCAGGCAAATAGCCAACAGCACACTGAAGTAATAAACTGCTCTTTGTTAGAGTCATTCAAACTTCCTTTTTTCTTTTTCAACTTGGACTAGTGATTCTGGCGTTTTATCTGCTGCCCACCTGACGGCCCCCTATGCTTTGTTGTTCCAGGAGGGATTTTAAGGAAAGGCGCAAAGCTGTTCTTCCGCCGACGGCATCAGCAGAAAGACCCCGGGATGAGCCAGTCGCACAATGACCTCATGTTCCTGCAGCAGCCTGAGAGGGCCCGGAGGAAGGGGACAACGCTCACCAGGATCCTGAACAAGAAGCTGCTCTCCAGGCACAGAAGCAAGAGCACCATGAACGGCGCCCCCCCGGACCCCTGTGCATAGGTCCACGGTTGGCAGCCTCTTTACCTTGATGCTGTGAGATGTGGGCCCATCTTAACTACCTGCCAGGACAGAGCGAGAGGGCCAGTGAGCTGTCGGATGGCCTGCCTTGCCTAGCTGGGTTTTACCCAACAACTTCATCCTTTAAAGGGGAAGAAAAATCTGAGTCTCCAACCAGGAGGTTTCCACCAGAGAGAACCCACAAAGCTTGATTTGCCACCAGATGCCAAAGGAGACTTGATGGGTCCGCCCATTGGGCTGTGCTCAAATCTAAGAGTTGCAGTCAATATTAGAAGGATATTTACAGGATGAACTCAAGAACATGCTGTAATGGACTGTGGATGGGGCAGGTTTGGGGGACTCAACTCGACCCACTCTGTGCTCTAACAGATATTATTTTGGGTCCATGCCTGGACCGCATCACCAAGAGGAGGCATCCCTCTGTGCTGTCACTGTGAATGGAATGGATGGGTTACCTCTCTGAATGGGCTACTCAGAATAAAAAAGTGTAGCTGGCCCTGAGTACAGAGAGGTGGCACATAGGCAGGATTGTTGGTAAACAGAGAAATTACGATAGGAATGGAAACACTATGACAAATGTAAGAAGACACTTGCCTTTGATATTAGCCATATAACTTGAAAAATTATGCAAATACTAAATATATCCTATGCATATTATGCTGAACATTTTTCTAAGTTTACTTTGAGCCTATTTGCAAGGTGGGAGATATATAAATTCTTAAGTGGTTTTTACATTTTTCTCTATAGTGTCAAAAGCTCTAATAATACCAGTGGAGCAGTCAACACACTGATCTCTTTTTTCCAGTCTGGCATACTTGCTCAACAGGAGTGCAGTGAGCCTCTCAGATGAAGTTGGGAGTGATAAGTGACAGCTAACAGAACATGGTAACCACGCACACGTGGTTTTTCTTTAGTCCGAGGTTGGTTTGCCAAATATTGCCAATAGCCGAAATAAAGTTCCCTTAGGGTAAAAGACAAAATTATTTGATATCTCAGCTGTGAGTCTTAGGAATGGAAGTTTAATAACCAATGGGCCGATCTTGCATCAGACTCCTTTTATGAGCTCTTTAGAGTTCTACTGTGAACAGTGCTTGACACGTTTTGGGGTGCCCTTGTTTTGATTTCCAGTGGAAAAATTGATAAGCTTGGCACATAATTTTAATACCCCTATGTATCTTTCCAACCACTTTCCACTTAGGTTCTTTCACAATTTCCTCATTGGTCCACCCCGTCCTGAATCTGCCACTTCTAGGAGATGTGCTTCTTCAAGAGCAGTTGTCATTAGGGTGAAAGGCTTGGACAGTTGAATAAGATTCATTTTCCTCCAGTAAGATTTAAAAGGCTATTATGAAAACAACTTTTGTCACGGACGTGAAATTGGGTGAGCTCCTTCCTACAGGTGTTTTTGTTAATCCTTAAACATATTTCAGGGGTCATGGAGCCATTGATGAGCAAAAACCTTTATAAAAACCAAAATCATATAATTTTTTCTTTTCCTTTTTTTAGGGAGAGATTAATAATTTTAATGCACATTTAAAATAATTTAAATGCACATTTAAGAATTCTTAGGTGTCGCAGGAATTATCAAGTGACTGTAAAATGACTTTTTCACCATGCTTTGTTTTTAAAGATTATATTTCAATTTTAATTATTGTAAAACAGCAGTTGCCATTCCAAAACATATTAATACCAAGTTAGTCCCCACAGATTAGCGATCACTGCTAGTCTTTTTGGAACAGGTGGTCACTTAGCGTTTTCTTTTACTTGAAGGATGACTGTTCTTTCTCATGGAGGCATTCAGGAATGAATTCTAAGAGGATATTATGTGTCAGAATTTCAGACACTGATCAGAAGTTTTTAGTACAGTTTGCTGGTTTGTTTGCTTTTGAAATTCAGATGGACTCAGTTTATTCAAGCGCGAAGGTATCAGAGTTTTAGATTGGGCTTTCTCGCTCTCCAAAAAAAAGTTTTAGCCATTCGCATTCCCAGACGACCCCCAGGGACATTCTGTTCTCTGTCGAACACCTTCGTCAAGGGCTCTGCTTCCTCAACTTCCCCGTGACTTGAAACCTCCTCAGGGTCCTGGGAGAGTGTCAGGTGGGCTGCGTCTGTCCCGTGTGTGAAGCAAATAAATTAACACGGGAGGTGCAGTGTTGTTCAGGAGACCCCCATTTCTTTGTGTCTCTTGGGTGCACATTGAGACGCCTGTACCTTTGAGTAAGATCCAGGAGCCCACACTCAGAACGCACACACTTTGTCTCCATCTAATATCCTGTTCTGAAGTTACGGAGGACAAGGACACTAACGTAGCAGGGAGTTTAGACGAAAAAATGGAAAAAGAAGGATGCATCTGGGGTCACACCGTGAGAAAACGGGCTGTATTGATACTGTGAATGCTTCTCCAAGCTGTTTATCCAGGTTTGGTTTTGAATGGTGTAGGGTATTTATGTTAAAGTAAACGTCATTAAGGTTAAAGATCAATTATGGTGAGACACCAAATGCTGAACATACTAATTTGTAAATCACCTTATTCCCTGTGCTTTTCTGTAAGCTGCAGTGGCTTGAGGGCTTTTGTCATTTAGTCTTGGATGAAATTTTTTCAGAGTGGTATTTGAAAAGTGATTCCTCGTGAACACTAATATTAACGTGTGTCTGTATGTCTGGAAGTGGGTGCTCATGTTGGCTTTAGTGAGCTGGCGACGCTTCCCTGTGCTCTGTGTAAGGATGTGCCCGCGTGTTTGTGGAGGAATGAACTGGAATGAGCTTTACGTGTGTTTTAATGTAGCAATAACGAAAGTAGCGATCTCACGTTCCAGCGAAAAACCTGCTGTGAGGAGGAAGGTCTAGACAGAGCACTTGATTTAAATCAAATCTCAAGTGTGAGCTCGAAACCAGCCCTGGATTCCTCCTGATGGCTACCTGGCCAGGTGCTGCCGACCACTCACAAATCAGGTGCAGGGCTAGGTTTCTGATCAGTTTTACTGGCGTCTACCGAAGAGAGCGGCAGATTTGCTTCTTGAGCAGGAAGGGAAAGATTAACTTACACTGCTGCCACCAAATGCGGGTGTTTTCTGAGTAACAGTCTCACAGCTCTTGGTCTTGAAACCTCAGCACAAGCTGGCAGACACTGGAAGTCACATTTCTCTCTACCAGATGGAAAACAGGTGTCGGCACTGGTGCAGACAACTCACGCCAGGCCCCTCTCCACGGCCCCAAACCTGTCGAGGCCTGACTGCCAAGGCAGGGCCCGCCGAACTGCCGAATCCTGCAAAGCAAACTCAGGGTACCTCGGGTTCCTCTGCCTCACCATCTACTCCTTACACGCGAGGAGGCTTTCGGAACACGCTCCCTCGCCCAGCGCGCCCAGCTTCCAGCAGGTCAGGAATGCACCGTTTATAATTTAGGCTAGTAGTTTTTTTCCCCCAATGTCACATCAAAGCTACATTTTAAAAAAAGAAGAAACCAAAAGGTTTCCCAGGTCTGTGGCAAGGTTTGGCTTGATGCCCCAGTGTGGGGATGAATTTACATGACAATGATTGTTTTCCTTGGTAGCACTTTAAAAACATTACAGTCCTGTGCAGCTGGCTCATTTGGAGACAATGTGGCTGGAACATGAATGGTCTTTGAAAGAAATAAATGTGCACATGGATCACTAAAGGCCGAGTGGTTTTTGCCCAGTCCTGTGCTGCCCCATAAGTCCTGCGTCTTCTCTGAGGGTCCCGGAATCACGGTCTTTCTTCTGTCAGGGCCTCAGCGGTCACCGCATGTGACCATCACAGTCAGCTGGTGTGGAAGAAGAGGCTTCCTCTTTGCGCAGTTCTTGGCAAAGGACCTTCCTCCTAACGTCCTTCTTACACGAGTTTTAAGTCACTTAGCATGCTGTTTTAGGCCTGGGGCTAAAATCATTTACTAGAAAGTTAATGATCCCAGTGAATTGTGGGTGCTGCCAGTCAGGGTCTGCTTGGCCTGGGTCCCCCAGCGGCAAAACCTGGGACAAGGTGGCTGTGTGACCCCGCGTGATCCCCAGGGACTTTCTGAGGGGCGCTGTCCCCTTGGGGCGAAGCTTTTAACCATCTATTGACCCCTGTTGGCAACACCTGGCCCAGAGGTGGCCCGGGGGTGGGTGCAGAGTGGGCTCCCTTGTGGGGTAAGAGGAGGTGTACGGGCCTCGTGGCGGTTATGGGGTGGGGATGGGGTGGTGGGGTCTGGATTGGTGGACAGACGGATGCATCCTGCACAGCCCCTGCAGGCGTCTCGTCCCCTTCCTGGTCGTCATCCCCCCTGCGGTGCCCGAGCTCGGGGTCTGGAGGACTGGTGCACTGGGGGAAGTACCAGTCCGCCCCAGCCCCCTCACCCCCACACCTGCTCTTCCTCTCAGCTGTCCTGACCCACCGGCCCTTTTGGGTGGTGAGTGGTCACATGGGAGCCGAGCCTGACTCACAGCTTTGCATTTCAGGGGAAGGGTCCACCTATGGAAAGCCCCAGCTGTTAGAGGGGCTTGGATTCCAGATCCTCAGCTCTGGATGCGGCAAGGTGGCGATGGCACTGTGTCTCGTTGGGGACCAAGGTGTCCAGGGGCCTGGGATTGAACTGCTGCTTCCTGTGTGACCTGGGGTCCACTTTGTGCTGACTGTCCAGGAGGAGACCGGATGGACCTCCTGGAAGGCCAAACTGGTTCTAGTTGACCAGCTTTCCTTACCTGATCTGCCGGTCACCTCCAGGTGGACACTGTTCTTGCCAGTCCCACCTATGCTGCCCAGATTAACCCACTGCAGCCACCTGAGGTCATTCTGCCCGTCCCCAGCACACCCCTCCTATTCTAATGATCTAACCGAACTCGAGCCCTGCCTTCTCCGTGAAGTGGCTTCGGCCACCTAGGATGACCCAGGGCACTTCTGAAGGTCACTCAGCCTGTCACTCAGCCTGCATCACTCCCTCCCATGCTCGCTCCCTGGCGAGTAGATAAGTGTCCGTGTCCCTTGGACTTAGGATGGTTCCCACCTGACGGACGTGAGCTGACAGCCTTATATAAGCACATGCGGGAAGTCTGCCTCACGCCCACCCCACTCGACTAATCAGGGTCAGGGCACAGAGCCCGACATGGAGGGGAAGCACGTGACAACATGCTGTTTCTGTTCCTGGTCACCCCACAAATACAGGGTGCTGTGTGTATATGTCAATAAACAGTTTACAAACAAGAAAAGGCAGATCGCTCAGGACAGAGGGTTGGGTACAGGATGGATGACCTAGTGCCGTGCCCTGTCTGGAGAGAAAGCTGTCGGGCCAGACGCTCTTCCCACAGTGACCTAGAGCATTGACTTTCACACGTGGACCACAGCTCACCTCGGCTCTGCACCGTGGCCGTCCAAGTTGCGCCCTGCATGTGCCGGGCATTCAAAACTATTGATTATATTGATGTCATCAATATTTATAAAGTTGGATGCCTAGGTGCCTTGGGCCACTTAGTATTTCAGAGAAATACCAAGAGAGAAAGACTTGAGATCACAGTGATAATAGTCAAACTAATTGAGCACTTACCACGTGCCAGGAATTTTTCAAAGGGTTTGACATGTATTGACCCCTATGCTCTTTGAAACAATCCCGTGAGTTATGCTCTAGCTCCGCTATACAGATTAGGAAACTGAGGCACAGAAAGGTTAAGTAACTTGCCCAAGATCACACAGCTGATAGGTGGCAGAATCAGAATTTGAGCCCAGGCTGTCTGGCTGGACAATCCGTGCCCACAGCCAGGAATCTCCACTACCTTGTGTCAAATGGAGAGACCAAGGACTTACGGCCTTATATGGTCTTTTCTGAACTTTAATGCTCCATGTTATGTGTGAGAATAATATAAAGTGAGATGCCATGCTTTGCACCTAGTAGAAATTAAGTTATTTGCTGATTAGACTTCTCTGTATCTGGATGGGAAAAAGTAGCCAGATTGAGAACAAAAGCCAGATGTGGTGTGGACAAGTGATTTAGGATATGACATCCACAGTGTCCGGTAATAAAGGAGTTCTATAATTAACAAAAAGTCAGAGCCGATGAGATGTGAGTTGGAAAGTACATGTCTGAAGCCGGCCAGTGTCGGGGCGGAGCGCCACACCCCACTGGGCCACACGGTAGAGGGATCACATGCTAATGCCACAGCGAGACTGTTGGGGAGGAATACCGTGTTCTTAGGAAGATCTATTGATAATAATGGAAGCTCTTCTCTGTTTACGGGTTCTTTTAAATTCCCCAATCTATTTTTTAAAATTTCAAACCTACAGAATAATCCATATACCTTTCACCTAGATTCACCAATTTTGCTACATTCACTGTACTTATCTATCTTTCTATCTATCCATTGTTGTTTGGCGACACCGTGATGACTCACCCTACGTTCTTCAGAATGCATTTTCTAAGAACAATGGCATCCTCGTATGAGACCTTCAGTACAATCATCACG